AACGATGATTAAAATGTCAAAAGGCGTAGAGTTGAAGTGGATAAATTACAAAATTATTAAAGATTGTTTTATACATGGATTGATGTCAAAAATGGTTTAAAAATGTCAAGTGTTGTCTAAAAATTTAAAAAAAATTAGGAGTACGATTACGATACGAATGAAGATGTGAAGTGGAGCGGAGAGAATTCAAGTGGTAAAGTAAAATAAAAACTAGAAAGAACATTACTATTGTGGTGAGAGCAGGCTGCTAGCCGATTGGTTGGCACTAATCTACGTTAAGGTCTAGGTCACTAATATGGGCCGTGAGAAAATATGAACAAGCCTGAGTCAACAACCAATCACAGCAAAGTTAACGTGGCAGAATATGATTCGCAGAGAGAACTCTAGGTGTCAAGGAATCCCGAAACAACCAATCAGAAGCCTGCGTTTGTCTACCTAAACAACCAATCAGATGACTGCGCTTGTCTATAATAATGTAGTTGAAAGATGTATAAATACGTGTTGATAATCATAATAAAACGATCTGTTGCTTCGCCCTTGTCTTCTGTTGTTACATTTGGTGTCGCTGCCTACCGACAAATGAAAAGCCTACACCCTGCAGTTTTTGATGGAGACATATGGATCTTCGGGCAGGACTTCAAGGCTTCTGCGCAGTTGAGTGGCGTTCAAGATCTGTCAGCGATGGAGCTGCTACTTGAGACGCTGCTGGGAGGTCGGGCGAAAGCAGCATATGAAGGTGTGGGCCGAAGTATGGACGAATGTTCGACAGGGTCAGGCAAACAGTTTCCAAAGTGGGAAGGACCATATATGGTCACTTCGAGATGGGGTTACCCAGACACAGTCGCAATGGCGAACAATGAGAGGCGCGTGAACGTCAGCGAGCTCCAGAAATGGATACAGCGAGACAAGCCAACGATGACGCCTGCACCAAGTAGATCAAGCCGACTTCAGTCGCACGTATTTGACGGGGGGACGAGTGTGGTGAGAGCAGGCTGCTAGCCGATTGATTGGCACTAATCTACGTTAAGGTCTAGGTCACTAATATGGGCCGTGAGAAAATATGAACAAGCCTGAGTCAACAACCAATCACAGCAAAGTTAACGTGGCAGAATATGATTCGCAGAGAGAACTCTAGGTGTCAAGGAATCCCGAAACAACCAATCAGAAGCCTGCGTTTGTCTACCTAAACAACCAATCAGATGACTGCGCTTGTCTATAATAATGTAGTTGAAAGATGTATAAATACGTGTTGATAATCATAATAAAACGATCTGTTGCTTCGCCCTTGTCTTCTGTTGTTACACTATGACCAAGGTAAAGAAAGGGGTTTGACAAAACGTTTTTGAACAAATAATCTAGGGTTCTGTTCATGTATAGCTAAAGCTTCGGATATGCATAAGTGAAGAAAACGCAAACTTTTGAATCGATTCGATTTTGACATGAAGTTAACTTTGAAAGATGAATAAAGATACGGTCCAATGATATTGCACTGCAGGCGCTTGAGTAGAACTCGACCAGGCGACAGCGGCTATGACGTCTAGGGGTGATTTCGAATAGATCGTGAAAGGAATAGGAAGGATACCATGAGGAATTTTCTACCCAGCTGAAGATTACTGCAAAGAAGCGAACAAGTTGCAGGTGGTCTGCTGAAACGCCATGTTCTCCTGAGAATGCAACGAAACAATAATGAAAACATAATACACAGAGTTCACTATACAACACATCAGGGAGATGAAATTGACTCTGAGTCCATGGCAATGTTAGATTCAGGGTAATAGACTTCTGAATACAATCCTCCAGCTCTTCCTTAAGCGTAGCTAGAGCTGATACTGTATGAAAAATATGTAATCTAACTTTATATATAACTCTGGGCGGAGTTTCTGTATGAACGCTAGCAACAATAGCCTCCATAATCGACCTGTCGACTAACATATGTTCTCCTATTGACATCGAAACGAATCGATATTGTCATGTTCCAACCACTTTCTCGTCTCAGCTACAATTTACAAATGGTCGACCGAATTCTTGCTAATTCTCTTGACAAGTCGTTTAACAGTCTAACTATCCACTGAGATTGTCTATAGCAAAGAGGATCACCCCATTGTTAATAGTATTCCTATTTATCAACTGAATATACAGTCTCCAACTACACCCAATTTTTATTTACTTGGTCTCTATCTTCTAGCTGAACTGGACAAGCTGATCAAGAAATACAGTGAACTCTATGGCCGTTCCAAGACTGCTGAATGTGGGTAAAGTTTTTTTAGCATACTCAAATGTTGGTTATAAGGCAATTGATTGATTTCAATTTCCATCAGTGACTGATATCTATTGGAGAATCACTGAACAGTACATGAAGTGGTTGACAACTACTTCATTCTCTTTCGACAGTACTGATCAGTAGACACCGCATCAGCCGCTTCATGAAATTGATGTATGGGCTGAAGATGCTGCCTAGTAAATAGGACAATGAAAGCTTTGCAAGTGAACTATCCAGCTCGGAGAACACAATCACACCAAAATCATCCATCTGAGCCACAAATCTTCTCCACCATATCCAAAAATCTCTTCCTAAAACAACTCGTCACCAAGACTATGACATAATCACAAAGAGAAGCAATAGGATTACAGATTTAACAGGGAGCGACAAAAGTGATACTGATCAAGTCTACATATGATATTGCAATTAAGGGGAGGCACGGATAATCATCACACGGTCAGTTGAAACGTCTGTGTAAGTAGTAAAACTTTAGTTAGATGGATTAAGAGTCATTTTACTTTTGAAATATTATATTACTTGTGAAATATTTGAATGTATTGATCCGTTTTACAGGCATAGCACTCTTGGCAGTCAGTTCACCAGAAATCAACTGGACTGTAGCAGATTTTAACAATGGTGAGATATTCAAGCTAATTTCAGTAAGAATAATGATGACTACAACAACGGTGATCTCTTATTCGATGACAACCTACTGATACTTGTTTAGTGACGATAAGACATCGGAGAGCAGAATTCACGATTCTTTACATTCAGAAATGTTTTGATTTTGGCAAATTAGAAATCGTTCCACGTTTTATCATGCAGTTAGGGAAACAGTAAAAACGACCTGAAATTACCGGAAAGTTGTTTCATCCCACTTGATGATTCTGTAGCTTCTCCTGCAATTAAAGGCCCTTAGGTGCGAACTCCAGTTGATGCGTCATATCAATGAGTCTCAAAATCTGACAAAACAGCTGTCCAGTACTCCTGGCTGGCTCAGCGAATAGGATCTAGTTTAGCGATTTCATTTTCCTCTTCAACTGTACGATCATTGCATTTATGTGCAATTTTCTCTCCACAAAACAAACGAGGTCAGATTTCAACAAAAGTGCTGAGTTTTCACATTCATGGTTGTCAGTATCAATCAGTGATAATGGGGCAGTTAAATAAGGATATCTGAATGACGTATTAGCATGATGCATAATTAATATAGATGAGTTTTAATCAGGATGCGAAACAAACAAATTTGATTTACGTTCGACATCAGAGTTCATGGGGAATACAAGAGTTGACAAGGGTTGAAGAAATAAACAAACCAACAAGGTTGTTAGCATGCAAGTAGAATTGATTGAATAATTTTTTCCTTTTGAATACAGAACCTCGTATTCTCTGTCTGAATGTTACGAACTTTAGGAAACACTACACTTGAGTTTCACTTTATAAAAGGGGTCCCAAATCTTCTTCCATTGTCTTCATTCCATACTTTCTATATTTTGTTGTCCCACCAATGTTCCTACTGATACTGGAATTCAGCTACCATCGTTTGAAATACCCAAGAATTGTCCACAACCATATACACCGAATGCTTTGTGTACCCAACAATTTGGGAATACGAGAAATAGAAATCGTTCAACACCTGTCTCGGAAATTCCTCTCTCTTGCCAATGAATGCACAGGATACGTCAGAAATATAAATATCACATCTAGAAGTGGTGTAGTTACACTTCAATGATATGGTTCTGAATAACCGGAAATAGTCTTCAACACGTGGTTATCCAGTGAATGAAGCTGTGTCATCGTGTGTGTAACCTAAAGTTTTATGGAATTACATTCTCACACCAAAACCTGCCACTTTTACACATCTCCTGAGATTATTTTCATAGTGGTGTTGTTAATGTTATTTTCTTTGTCTTCCAGCTATTCAAAACAACAGGTACCAGATATATGTTGACACTATCATGGAATTTCTGAACAGTGAGTAGTGGTGATGACTGTCAACGAACTAAAGGCAGAGTACTGTATTTAGTAGTGTCAATGAAGATTACCATAAGACCGTGTGAACTATATACCACTGAGTACTTGTAGACCACTTGCATCAACAAACAGTCGGTCTTGTCAGCCAGCTAGACCAAAATGATCTGAACACTACTGCATGGCCATTTGTGACCTTTCGGTGGCGAGTTCATCAGCGGTTTAACCTGTTTGACTCATCTCAAACCACCTGATTTTTGACTGGCTACATGTGCGAACTGATAGTACATGCACCTGATATTTTCAATTAAACCAATTGGAGTAGGTGAAATTTCACCATTCAGTCCCCCTAGGAAACGAACAGTATTCAGACCACTTCATGTGAGTGCGTAATCTGCTTGATATCATAAATGATGATCAGTGAAACCTGCCTAGGCGGCAGATACTACTCATTTCACTGGTGAGTAGAGTGATATCACAATGAATAATTTGCATTTCCAGATAGGAAATATACACAAACAATCAAGTGGAATTTGTGTAATCTACGAAGTTATTTGCAAATCTCCAATTTCATTTAAGTTCATGGCGAAGCTCAATCACTACAAATGCCTTCCACTATGACAGTCACATCCTCATATCTATCCGCGTATATCTCATCTTTATTTTGTATCCACTAGATTCATGTATTATTATGTCATTGATTACAGAACTGAAAGGGTACAGTTTTTAGTGGAATGAGAAGGGATTTTCGGAGCAGTCAAACGAATATATGAGTACGTTTTATTTACAGAAAAACTCCTGATCACATTGTGAATACTGTATAACATGGACATTTTATACCAACAATTGGAGATATTAACATAATAAGACTTTGGAAAAAAATACGTGCAGAGCTGCGATTCAATCACAGTCAAACTATTTCACAAGTTTGGCCCTCAAATGATTGATATCTGTTTGAGGACCACTGGGATCCATCTGGAATACCTGGAGAGCTGTTCTGTCGTAGTTTGTCAGTGTTCAACAGTACGCATCAATGAGTAGATTAATAAGGGTTCAAAATCTATAGCCTCAGGTCACTAGATGTGATAGTTGATAACTCACATATTGAGATGTGATGCAGTCACATACTCATGATTGTCGACAGTGTACCCTGAAGTTCCTGAATTCGATCTCTGGTGATTTGGTTATTAGGCTCGTAATATGCCAATGACCGTCTTTAACCTTGGGGTACCAACAACCCTCCATCATTATAATAAATCTAATTTCATGTATACACTTGGTTTTAAATTTTCAGCCTACTAAGATGAGACCTATAGCGGCTTTGTGAACATTTGAATTTTTCGCAAACTGTGGATTTGGGAATTTCAAAAAGCATAACTATTGATGGTGAGGTGATTTGAAGAGTTTTCCAATACACCAAATCATGGTTTCTGAGATTATGAGTTCAATCTGTTAGTTTCTCAAGTGATAAGATCGACTGCATTGATGTGAAATATCGACTGAAGCACATGCCTGTCTAAGTACAACTACATTTCGAACACTCATATTGCACCTGATTGTAGTCTCTCAGATCTAACCGCATTTCGTGATGATTTCACTTCTTTCACTACCACCTCCCATGTCAACTCTTTTTCAATACTTACTGGAGATTTAAGTTACTGTGACTGCAATTTCGCCATATCATTGGCCCATGAAATATTGTTCCCGTGATTCTAGTGTTGTAGATAATACTGCAGTTGAGACGAAGCCGATTGTTGAATACCTTGGAATATGTCTCTCATCCGATATCACTCAGTCTCTAATCTGACAGTTTGTTGACTCTTGTTTTCTACCCATGCTGCTTCATTCCTCCCTCTGAATCTCTGTTTGACTACTTAGAAAAGACTTTGATCGAAGTGCGATAAAAGCTGTTGTCACGGCTGTTGGAGTGTCACCAAACCGGTTTGTTAATGATGTTGTAGATATATATGAGGGCCAACACAAGAGATCAGCGATTATTGCCTTGTCAGACTCTGCAGAGGCTCTCGGAAAGCATCTCTCCTATATCATTTCGTTTATTAATATTACAAGAAGCAATATAGAGTCCACTGTTACTTCCCAATGGCCTATTTAGAAATGTGAATATCTCTTATGCATTTGTAACTTGTGCCTTCAATTTTAAAAAGTGCACTCCAGTTATTTAGTGAGTAAATGATGTATCTGCATTCATCTGCTTCTAGCTATTGCCAAAGGAATTCAAACTCGTTACAGTGAGTTTACTGAAATCTCGGATAAATATATCCATATAGAGTAATATGCAGAGGAATTCATTCGCATATCAATACATTTTGAAATATTAAAGTAGGTAGATGGAACGATGATAGATAGATAGATAGATAGATAGATAGATAGATAGATAGATAGATAGATAGATAGATAGATAGATAGATAGATAGATAGATAGATAGATAGATAGATAGATGGAATGTCTGATTGTTTGACTGATCGAATACTGAGAGATATTGGTGTAGATAACATTGATGGATAAATAGACAGAGTGATAGGTCAGCGACTAATATATAAATAGATTTATTAGTATAATTTTAGAAAGATAGATGGTTAAATGAATAGATAGATAGATCAGTGATCGAATGATAGTTCAGGGATAAGCAGATTTAGAATGTTTACTAAATCATAGCAAGTGAATAAGTCTTCGCTCAAGGTTTTTGTTTTTTTTGTCTTTTAAAGTTCCAAGCCTTTTTGGAGATATTAGTCACCTTATGAATACCTTAAATGTAAAGATTAACCTGACTAAAGGTAACGTCTGATCTCCATGTGTAAATATTTTTCATTATATGTATCTAATAAACCGATTGTTGGACTAATTTGAATTCTACATCCTACCCCACCACAACCATGCTGTCGTCCACAGACTGATAATGAACTCTAGTGGATTTTCGCAGAATCACAGATTCACTGCTCTCCAACATGCATTATAATTCAGTATCACATACTCTATGCCACTTGTCTATCTGGATAGTATCATGCAGATCCTGCCTCTGAAGATGTTCGTCTTCCTGTAATTCCATTCACATGGTAAAAACAAGTCATCGTGGATTATTGATTTCCACAGTTGCTATTCTACATGTATCTGGATAATTAAATAGTGATAAATAGGATGAAACTCGGTATGTGCTGAACACTACTCATATGCTCATGTTGAATCAGCAATTCATTCGCCTACTTCGATGCATTTACTGAAAGTAGATTTCAATACACATCGACCCAACAATATTATCCTGAGTCAGCAGTGGCATACACAGTATACTCAACGCCTTTGTGAAGATGTCTAGAGAAATAGAATCTTCTGTCATCATCACCTAAACAGGATCATGTCACTTATTTACTCTAAACCAATCTACTCATCCAATACAGCTGATGCATGACCATTCGCGAATCATTCTCAACAACGCCCAACGTAATTTAGACAGTAGGTGATATTTGAAAGCACCACTGAACATCATCTGAGCATATTCCAGTTGTCAATTGGTAGGATGTGAAGTGATTGTGTGGATGATGACTGTGAAAATAGAAACCAGGATGCACATTTCGGGCAAGGGCATATCCTACAGTTGGAAGTGCATGCATTCTCCAGTTGGTGGTTGTGTTTCCACTGAGACTTGAAATAAGTACCAAGTATTATAAACACCATGGTATTATCCACTAGACCACTTGGTTGATGAAAGTCACCTCTTCTGTAACCAACATCATTTATTGATTGTTTTGAGTGACTTTCGACTTTCCTGTTGACTGAGTCGACTGAAATATTCAACCTCCGATTCTCACCCACTGCAAGTACGTTCAACTGACGACTTCTGAATAACACGAAACGAGCATCATGGATTCCACTGCTAGTTATCACCTACCGAATTATTTCAACGTAATCCATACACTTCATATCAACAGAAGTCGAAAATTTCTGCCAAATCAGTCAACAAGAAAATTGAAATCGACTTAATATGTGAATAAGAATTCGTGTTTCTGAAGACCGCGTTCGGGATAACACTGTCTTCTACTAATGATTTTCAGTCTTTACTGACCTGATTAACTCTCTCCGCGATGCATGGACGGCTAGAAAGGATCTGTACACGACAGCAGGTAAGTCGACATAGCATTGCTGTTATTGTTGCTTCAAAGACATTCAATATGAATGGTGATAGCATTGTGGAAAATTCTGCTTCCATGTTTTGTTCTGTGTTTATTCGCGATCCTGACAACAAGTGCGATAGTCACTATGAATACACAGATCGACAAAGAGATCGCCTGTTGTAACTTCCCTTCACAGGTCACTAGTTTTCTAAGTCTTTATATACACAATGTTAATTACCAACTCAAGTCACTGCCTATTGCCATTTAGTAGTAAAAAAAATCAAAGTGGGTGATTGATAACGATGTATGAGGCAGCACTCAGAAGGCTAACATGATCACAGCAGTTTTCAAGTGGTACGTTAACTGATGAGTAGACATTTGAAAGTGGTCCACGGGGAAACAAGAGAACTAAGAATTGAAATGAGGTCACAAAATTGACTGATTTTAAAGATATTAGAAAGTACTTGGACACTATGCAATGTGATGGCGCAAATCTTCACCAACCTCAATGAAAAGCTACATTTCAGCTGATTAACCACAGGAAACTCAGCGAAGTCCTTCAAGTGGAGATAGGAGTAAGAATAGCTAAATAATGTCACCGATGATATTTCTGATTGTGATGAGTTGGTTGACTTGGCAGACTGTGGAGTTTGCACAGACAGGAATATGATGAACATATAGGAATCCTCTGGAATATCTGGACCTTGTAGAAGATTACCTCCAATATCCAGAAAGTTCGGCGAACTGCATTTGATGACCAACAATTTGACAGAAATGGTAGCAATCGCAGACAAGTGTTCGAATGAGCATAGAGAAGAAGGATATAGTGAATATAACGTACCTTCCAACCAACCCACAACATCAACCAACATGAGTCACTGTCAGTGTCAGAATTCCAAAGAGATCACTGCCTTCATTTATCCAGCTAGACAGTATTGTTTCAACTACAGTCACCAACATGGATAAGAATTTCAAAACCAGTCAAGATCGGAAGGGCGAGACACACATTCATGATTCTGAAATTAACTTGTAAATCTTCTACACTCAGCATAGTGAACACAATTTGATTTTCGTTACCAGTGTTGAGTCAGTTCTTATATGTGGTTCAGTGAGTTGTAGTGTGCCTCACCGAAAGCATTTCCGACAGATTACTGCAGACGTTCATCAAAAGCCATGGTTTCCGCTCGATATTTGGTATCAGATCGACGGAAATAATTTTCATCATCAACTATTTATTTTGTTCGTTTGTGCTTTGAAGTGAAGTGTTGTTTTCTACACAGTGAGGTTCTTGGCCCCACACGCATTCATCCAACTTTGTCAAGAAATTGGTCAACTAAGTGAGACAAGAGTATGAGTCGGCAAGAAATTGAAATCCATATCACATACACTTTTGGCGTCGATTCTTGCAGTAGACCACAGAAGAAACTTAGGAGATATAAGGAACAAATGAATCTGGTGACAAACTAAGCCATAGCCTAATAATCAATAAATATTCTGAAGACAATGAGAAGGATCGGATACACGCTGAAGTGAACGTTATATGGCATGATGCTCTAAGCAATCGCTCAAGTATCAGCCGGACGGGAGATATCTTTGAATCATATTTAGGAGATCTCCTCGATATCTTAAGCATGCTTAATTAGTTGAATGTTGAATGCTAATGAAGCTGTACTATTTACAGAACAGAAATAGTAGGAAAGTTAAAGGAAGCATGAGGTGCAATATAAAATGAAGCTTTAAAATAGTGGGAGATACAGTCAATTGCTGGATTGATATAAATCAGTTTCAACTCTACACTGGAACACAAATCTACTAAGACTCAGATGCTCAAACCTACTCACGTAAAAGTGCACGAAATACTTCGAAAACCATAATCATTATCCTTTCACGCCAGAAACCTGACTGACCTGGATACACACAGCAGCAGCAACTGTCGACTTATAATTGTGAGTTATGATCATGTATACTTTTATGAGATAACTTCCACGAAACACATTTTAAGCCCAAACGATTTTCATTGTGTATTTTTTGAACCATGAGATACATCCTTGATGTTTTATGTTCATAGCTATGTACTATACAAAAGCCTACATGCAGCAGAATCAAAAAATCAAGAATCCAAGTGAGTGAACAGAAATAACCAAAGCGTATTCGTATTTATTTATTCACAGTGAATGTCTTGAAACAAGTGAGAGGTATGATTTCCAGCTGACATCATTCAGAGTCAAGTGAGATTACAACGAATCCTTGTCCCAGCGGGATGTATCGTTCTCTGAATGAACGACTATCGTTTACATTCAAGTGTTGGTTTGTAGGGATTTGATTGGTTTCAGGAGTGGAAAATCTAGGAGTGCTGTCCAGTACTCCCAGGTTTTCCAATAGTTCTTTAACTGATATCAGCTCAAGATAAAATCCTGTGACTGTCGTTTAATTATCTGTAGTCATGAGTAACGGTCACAGGCAATGTTGGGCTAGGTGAGAGAATGTCATCAGTGGAAACACTTTCAGCGATTGGTCAGACTGAACTGCAGCCTTCTAACGACGAATATTGCTGATGTCTTTCAGGACAGAGATGAAAGGCGTTTCTTAAATATATACAGTCAGAGTCAAAATAAATCCAGATTTATTCAACTTTCTTATTGCGCTTACAAGAAGAATTCGAAAGTAAATAGGTCATTGAATGACATCAGTTTGGAATGACCATCCCCATGAAAGATTGAGATGAAGTCATAGTAGAGTTTTTTACAGTCTGACAAATGAGGAAATATTGAAACGTATGCGAGGAAATTGCGCATATGACGTGAGATACCGTACCTTAATGCACGCATCGTCAGAAAGTCACACAATACGATGAGACTTTTCACAATTTTATTTGCAAACATGCAGTGAGTTGCTACAGGGTAAATTATGGTTGTGCATGTGTTTGTCTGCTTACACACATGCATACACACTAACAATTTTAACATTACATAACAACAAACACTTTAATTTTCCACATTTACTCAAAGCTACAAAACAATAAATTCCATTTTCACTTAAGAATATTTAATTGACACTCACATTAGCAGTAATTTCTGTCCTTCATCAGATAGAGAAATTGTCGAAGAAGACTTGGGAGAATTTATTGAAGAGGAATTTATCAAATTAAGAAGTAAAAGCCAATTTTTGAACAAATTTTAAATTTCAAACACCTTTCGCACTTTGTTATTTTTAAACATGCAGAAGCACTGATTTGTGCTGGTCCTTTGTGGGAAAGCAGAGGACTCTCGAGTGGCTGAGGGTGTTGCCTAGTAAGGCAATATAAGCTCCCCAACTTAACTATCTAGCTCAGTGAACACAACTACACGGAAAAACACTCATTCATTGTGAATCTATTATCCTACCATAATGAATAAATTCTACTCTTCCACCAGCTACAACAACTGAGTGAGTAATTACTCAGAAATGATGAATAATTGACTCCATTATTACTTACTTCCCCTGTAAATCGTCTGCACATGCGTTCATAATGTTCAATAACATTTTGATGGTCTGATTGGATTATCCTGAAAATTGATTCATTTCATTTCTCTTTGTCCAGGAAATATTGAGGCGATATGCTACAACATGTCAAGAACGCCACTAAATGAAAGTTGTAAGTCCCAATTTGTTTGGTATTTTCCTAATAAACAAATGGCTGCGTCAACTGACCAACAGTATCATCAGATATTATCGCCACCTGAGATAAGATGAATTTATTGTTTATGGTTTTAATATGACATCTGTATAATTCCCGTTTGTCACGATAACAGTTTTTTGTGAAATGTGTGCAAGAATAAATAAAACTGTCTGTAGTCAGCTCGACTTCGTTCTGAGTGATACAGGTACATTTTATTGCTCAGTCGACAAGAAAAAATGACGTCTTTGCACGAAAAAGTACCGTGATTCATCCACCAATGCGGCATTTCATATGTGATGTATATTTTACCATGTTATTGTTGTTATCATTCCCTTAGGTTCCGAATGGAACATGAGAATTGATAAGCACCTCTCCACTTATCCTGTTTTAAAAATGCATCTTAAGTTCCCATCTCTCATTCATTCGAATTCACGCTCAACTCGTGCTTTCTTATTTGAGTTTCTTTTAACGGTTTATCTGGGGTTTGTGATAAAACTGAACACTTTCCTAAGTGTGTGTCTTACACATCCCCGTTTCCGTCTGTGTATTTGCTTTTCAAAGGCTGCACGGTGGATTTGTTAACAAAGTTCAAATTTGCTGATGGTTTCATTGCAATCACTGAGTCTCTGACATCTAGCCAGCGAAGGGAGCTGGTGTAAATCGTCTGCAGTGAATTGCTGAAAGTGGTTTTGTGCACACTAGTGTCTTCATACTTGGGTCACGTTGAAATTCAGTCGTCCGCGACGTTCAAGTTTGTCGTGAAATCACTGACGAATAAATATTCTACTCCTTACAATGACTCATCAACTAGCCTGGCAACATAAGCCGAGAACTTGGAAACTCTTCATTTCCGATTCTCTAACAATATTGAAATCATATCTATCTACAGAATATCCCTAATTCTCTAACTGATGTCAGGCAGTCATGTAAATTCATCCCACATCTCTCTATTCACTTAATATTGTCTTCTTCATGATTAGGGAAAAAATGTCCACTTTATCCACTTGGGTCATAGATTGAACAATGAAGTTCTGGGCAACCAATCACGTGTCAGTGACTCCGTTTCTCAGCCAACGCACTCTGTTACCTCACCCAGTGCTCCAGCGCATATATAACCTGGAAAAGAAGAAATTGCGCCCAACGGTAATAAGTTGACTTCAATAAAAAAACACCTCAGCTACTTAAACGTTAATGTTTTTAGTTCCTTGTGGCCCACTGATCCACTCAGAACCCAAAGCGCGTGAACCAATTATCTACTTGTCACTAATAACTTTGGATAAGTTTACTCTTTTTAATCCTACGTGACTGTCTAAAATTTCTATCAATATTCTCGAATTTTTTCTCAGTTGTCATTGAGTTCTCGACGAAATCTAATACATCGAATGTGACAATATCTGCATTCAAAGATGCTGTCGGTAAGCAAGAAATTTTGTGCTTGCAATCCTCTGACTCTCTTCTGTCAAGCAATTTCAAATTCTGACAACACTGTGCACACTGAAACAGAGAAGGCATGTTTAGATATCTGCAGGCCACACAGAACATAACCCATATAGGACCTGTTGAAAATTTCTGATTAGATGAAATTATCACAGAATATTTGGATTGATGCTGACTCAGTACATCGAAGTAGTCTGTTGATACTGTCGTTTTACCATTCGGAAGGCTACCACCCAGTCTCCCACCTGATGACAATCATTTATTGCATGTTCAGAAATCCGCTTGTATATACACTCCTGGTTCTTCTCATGTAAATACTACTACAAGTACAGGTCAATGATTGAATGCAGTTTCAGGTTTCATGAGGCGTTATCACATCCACATATAAATTTCTAATAATTTTCTGGGTCATGTGGGCTACTAATACCTCTACCACTACTTATAATTTAGCAGTAAGACACGCTACAGCGACGAATCTATTCTGCAGTTGTCGAATATTTCGTCAACTCAATTTGTCGCCTTTGAATGAAAAGCAGTCTAAAGACTGACTTGAGATTTTCACTGATTAATTCAAGGAAAATCCATTGTCGATGGATATTTTGCGAACTCGATCCGACTATTCGTCAATCAACGCTTCACAAAACACGGTCTCATTGGTCGTGAAAATTATCGCATCTACTAGTGTGATTTTGTAATGAAATAGAATGGAAGCTGCTAAATCGTAAATATTAACCTGTCCAAGTCGACGTATGATGAATCCGACTTGATGATTTAGTGCCATCTTCATTTCTTAGTAAGACTCAATTGTGTTCATCTCTATGTTATTGTGTTTCCTAACATTTTCTGCATCTGAGCACACGAATGTCCATATGCCTTCTGTACACCTGACACAGTCTCCTCAATACCACTTTTAGTCGCTCAACTCGCCTTTCTCCATTCCTGTTCAAATTGACGCCTGGCATGATGCATAGCTTCACTCAGCTGTCTCCTCAGAGTGTGTCTGATTCATTTTAATTTTCTTCAGTCTATGTTTTTAGCCACAATTGCTTGGTGGGTTAGTTGGTAGAGTTTCTTGCTCCTCAACCATTCAGATTATCTGATCTACAGTATGAAGTTAGCGAAGGTAGCTGTTGATACAAGTCTAAAGTTACCTGTTGAAAAAACCTTTGATAACACATCAAATCTCTCAACTGTAAAGAAGAAGTGAATGGATTCAAACTAGTAGGAGATATCCTAATTGACTTCAGAATAATGTAGGTCCGTCTCTCCACTCCGAACCTGAAAAGCTTTGACATCCTCATCCATGCCAACTGATAGTACCTGAAACGATGCTGTCTGTCGAGATCAATGAAAGAAGTAACTTCCTTCAAATTTTCATCACTGACAGTCATTGTTATTAGTTATGGTTGTTGGTTGGTTATCATCTCCACTACTGTCTTCTCTGTTCATTTGAAATCTTGTCTTTGCTTCATGCCTTTTTTACCAACTTATTGCTGTTAGCCGGTAGGTCTTGCAGTGTGTCTGTGACATTTACATGAACTCAATTAAAAAGCTTGAGTCGATCCTCTGCCTGATTTTCACGCTCACATATGCATTAAACGTATCATTCTCATAATGTTTTAAGTATATTTTCGGTTTGGCTTTATTGCATTATTTAGATGTTTGAAGAGTCTTCATGTCTCTCTCCATCTGTATCCATCTGTATCTCGCACACCCACTTGAGCCACCTGACATTCTGATCACATTGCAGACTAGATTAATAAAATCCACTGAGCACCAGCAACATGAACTAGGCGTAGTCGAATAATTTCTACTCAGTATCCAGTGAAAGCGTTCATTACTCAGTTAAAGGAGCTGGATCGCGAGCCTGAGAAGTTCAGTGATAACCACTCCCACTGTAGGTAGACTGAGTGACTGTGAGCTGGAATCTCAGTGGGAAAACGAGTTGTTCCTGCATGACAACAGGTAGAAAATCATTGAGTGTTTATTACAAGCAAAAAAATTAAGCGGGGCATTTGAATGTCAGACTGGGCGTTCTGTCTGCCGTGCGCCTTCAGCCATAATATGACATTTATTCTTATCACGATTCATAGAATCCAATCACAGACTCTGTAATGAGGAAGAGAAATAGATAACGCCCTATTTTAACATTCTCCAGGGTTTTATTGAATATCCACTCAGTTAATATTTCTCCTGTACATTATTTCACCCGTTTAGTTCAACTGATTTCTGAAGTAGAAAAGCTTGAGAAGTACAGAATCGACAGACTTTTCAGTAAGTTCATAATTCACTTATATAATAATGAATACAATAATGTTTAGCACAGTCGCCCTTGAATGTTGTGGATACGGCTATCTGGGCAATGAAACTAGAGGAATGGCATGACTTCAGTAAGTGGTTCAGTAAGCATTTACATGCTATTCATTTTGTTGTGAGATAAATATTTCGCTGCCTTGTGACTATCATCATCATTATCGTTGTTATTCAATCAGTTCTACTGATAATAGAAAGCCTAAGATGTCTGCTTCCTTATCGGCCTTGGTTCCCACCCTCTGTAAGCACTCCCCATTAATCCTGAGATCGACATTGAACACCACAACACTTCATTACCTCTCCGTATAATATTCTTCACGTCACTCTACGAAGACATGAAACACGTCTCTTCCTATTTATATTGACCTCAAGAGATAGGTATGTGGTATGTCAGTCAGTGGTCTCTTTAGGGCAAATCTAACCCTTCCTGAATTTCTACAGAATATTTATTGAGTGACAGGTTGTCGTTAGTTAGTTCGATAACAGAGCTCCTCACTGTTAATCCTCTCCAGTCGGCCATCTCATCTTCAGTATGGTGATAGCAAAGGAAGCTGTTGACAAACGTCTGCAGTCGTCTGTTAGAAATGCTGTTCTGAAGGATGCAGAAGAAATGGTTTAAGAATGATGTTGAAAGTTAGAATAATGTTGTCATTGCTGAGTAGTGCAGTAGATTTCTAAACTAATCTTTGAGTAATGAAAGTCTGTCTCGCCTTTCCAATTCCGGTATTGAAATAGCTATCCCTTACTCCTGTGGCTGAAAGGACTATGCACCCACTTATGAGAGCAACTATTTATTTTATATTTCTCCCTCTGACGGCGACTTCTAACTGTTGTCGTCATCTCGTTATCGACAACTGTCCAACCTCATTAAAGTTTGCCTGAAATCACGTTACTGATACTTCAATCAACTTGTCGCTTTCGTACAAATACATACCTGAGTTTGTCCGAGAATGAAGCACAATTATGCTGTGATACCTGAATTTCCTATCAGTTCGATCCGAGATGATCTCATTCCTCACAGTCTCTTACACAGTGGAATTACCCATGGTCACAAAGGTGATTGGCGATAGCTCTAAGCCTTGTCTCACTTCTATCTCTACTTCAAATGATCCTAAGAGAGAATAATCTAGGATGCGGCGGGTGTCGCATAGCGAGTGTCGTGAATGAATTTTGAACATGCTTTCGGCGCCACACCTTTTAGTTCTCATGCAACTTTCAAATTACTGCGTATTTGATGATGCTGATAATCTTCTCCGTTCAAAGCCTTCATTCTATGCTGTGTTCGATAACAATAAGAAATGTTGCAATTTGATTCGCGCATGACCTCCAGAATGTTTAGGTTGGAGTTTTGTCAGCAATACATCTTTTAGTCTGTCAAAGATGTTATGACTTAATATTGTGTCTGTGTTGCATAGACGTTGGATGGCATATCAGTTCCTCCTAACTGTTTAGTCACTTTTCGTTCACATTATGACGAGTTAGCCTTTCTTTCTTTTTTTCGGGTACCGTTTCTTCCTGCTTTTCACACCTACAGCAGTGGCGTTAGCATTTCCAGGAGGTACCTAGGCCCGAAGTCAGTGCTTCGAGAGTATCTCATCTCATTTTCAACGTCTTCATATAACTTTCTGATCTTCGAGTCTTGATTTCGTCGAACAGTTTGAAGTCAGCAGTCGGTATTATTTCGTAGTTCTGTGTCTATAAGGGATATTGCTTGAAGCGTTTTTTGTGGCGATCAATCCAAATGTCCTGTAAGATAATGAATCTAGAGTTATCTGTGTTCCACCTCTCCTGGCAAATGGATCTCTTTCATTAAATTTCACTGTCTCCGTCTGCGTTGATCTCTTTCCAGATAGCGACTTATTTTCCGGTCTGAACCCAGCAAACCAATGGCTGTGTTGCTGCTGTATAGCTTATAAAACTGCCGCGAGTGCCTCATATGCCACGCACACCTGATATCAATGGTGGGCCTGCAAAATTTGCGTTACCGATATCACATGCTGAAAATTCCATACCTGTACCAAAAATACGGTGTGGAATCAAGCTGTAATCAAAAATGTTTTTAAAAATGTCAAAATTATCCTTCAACTATTTCGAAAGACATTTCTGCTTGATCCCATACATGATCGTATTCAAAGACAATACGTTTCTATTTCAAAAATACAAAACTACCTCAAAAATGTCTTCTGGTAGATATGCAATCAGAAGATTTCCCAAGTATAATGATGACCTGTCCAGCTACCAATTCAGGTTATCTGAAAACCAGTGAGATCAGTGATAATAAGCCAGATCCGATTAAAACTCTGCCTGCAATAGTAAAATAGAACAAAACACGCTTCTCAGGCAGACAGTCCAAGGCGCAGGACTCAAATGAATCAGTCACTAATTAATACACATGTTACTACAAATCAAATTTACCAACCCAGGAGCAATAAGTCATGTAGTAAATAAATTCACATTACTAAACAATAAAAACTTGCAATATAGATATAGTTTGACGACCAGTGTCTACAAACAAGGTTATCAAGAAATACAATTAGATGATCATTCGTAGAGAATAAGTTCATTTCACACTAAAGATTGCACTAAAGACGTAGTCTAGAAAAGCAACAAAAGCCTAACAATTAAATTACATACAGCAAACATTTCCAGTGTATAGCGCCACCACCAGTCAGTGCAGTCGATGAGCATCTTTCCTCACATCTAACCCGTTGAATTTCATTAGACATTACCTCTCACTTACGAGAATTCCACGCAACGCCATCCGTGAATTAGTCAGTCACTAGTGTCAACAGTGGAGTATAACATTCATAAGCTTACAAGCTTGTATCAAATTTGACCAGGGATTGACATCAATAAGAGAAACAGTGAAAACCAGCTAGGATTACTGAACAGCTGCGTGTTTCATCCTAGGCTGGTGCTCATTCGAAGTACACACCGATTTCGGTCCCAACCAAATACGTCTGGGTTACAACATTCTGCTTCTTGAAACCTGACTTCCTTCATTTCAGGATGTGTTGTACCACTAACACTTGAACCACATAAATTCTCCAATTCAAGTTCGAAGCTGTTTTATATGGTTCTCTAACTGATATCAATCCGTAGTCAAACTCCAAATAAGTCCAATGCCTGAAAATTTATTCTTGAAAATTCTGTCAGTCCACCGAATTCTATAAATGTAACTTCACCTTTCTTACAGATAATCCATATATATGAAAAACAGAGGACATGGAGTCTTCATAAACTTGGAAAACTGTATTCTATGGTGATGGTGTGTTACAAATTCGTAATAATAAACATTTTCTGTTCCTCGAAATCAGTTCTGCTTTCATTCGGTCGTTTTATCTTTCATGTAATCTACTCGTATGATTCACGTTTATCATTTAGATACAGGCGTACGGTGAGTGTATCGACGAAAAACGACGTGTTGTTTTAGGAATGTACGAAATCGATCTTTTCACTCCACCGTTTAGCTGACACAGCTCAGAACGGTCCCGTCGGTAATAAAACGGCAGTTACTCTGGATGAAATCTGAAGTACTGCTACTACCTCAACAATCCCGTTAGGCAGTGATACACATCGTATTCACCATCAAACTACAAACTAGGTAATGTACAACTGTAACTAGCACCTGAGAATTTAGAAGAATACCGCCAGTAGGCCGGGTTCGATACTTTGTCAGCAACAGCCACGCACTAAGCACTACCAGAAGACACTCTTATATCAAAATTGACAGCGAGAACCTTGATCTCATTCAAATTAAATGTTACTTGTAGGAAAAGAATTTTTCAATGTGATCACACATTCACAAAGAGAAGCGCTGAAACTAAAGATTAGACAGATGCAAAGACAAATAATGAGAAATAAACCATCGGATGACAGGCAAATGTCAAGACAATGATACACACTAGAGGCTAAACAACAGTAATAATTACGAAGTTAGTTTGTGTGTCTACAGAAATATCAGTGTTGTATTTAGATCGGTTGATGGATGGATTTTCCAACAATCATCTCGTTACACTCACTACTACCTTGAAGTGAAATCACTAAATATTCCTACTAATACAATTTACACAAGACATTGGCAAACAATATTGGCTTGTATATCGAAGAACTGCCTTCTTAGGACAATATACACATTTTTCAGTCTCGTTATCATCCGATATAAAATGAAATTAGTTAGATGACTCAAAAAATAGAGCAAGAATGATGTGTGACGTTAATTCCTTAGAAAATACATTGAGATACACAAACAATGTGATGGCTTGAATGAGTCATCCTTGTTGATATGTGGGAAGACACACGCGTGCTGTGTTTAACGAAGAGAAATCCACCACAATTAAATGACAAACATTTTTCCTTGAATCATAATTCAAAATGAGTTGTAACTACTAGGGTTTTCACCCTTGACTAACTAGAAACATGAAATGAATTTACACTGACGCTGTCACCCAAAATTTCTCACATTCCAATCTATCGGTCATAATCGCTCAAGCGGAAGATGAACTGCCTATCTAGGTCTACTTGTTTCTCTGTGCATTTTTACAGGTTTAACTGCTTCTTTAACGAAAGTTACCTTCATAGAGGCCAGCTAGAAACCGATTTACGCATTGCCGATGTATCATCTTCTTCTATAGTTCAAAAAAGGTCAAAGAGATTGCGTATGAAGCTCTATTTCATCGCATTTGATCCATGATGATGATGTTAGCGATCAAAAGTGCAATCAGAAGTCGAAAGGCTCTCAGTTAATGTTAGCTCCAACCGTACCGATCAGTTCATCTGTAGCTGACGAATCGGATATATTAGAAGGATTGAAAGAAGAGCCAATCTCAGATTTTCTTGACACACTGAAAGGTGTACAACCAATAGAAAGTGAATCTTCAAGCACCACAGCTAAGAAAATAGCATTATTAGAGTGGATATCAGGTCGACATCCTGCCTTCATACGAAATGGAGTGTTGGTCGTATGTGGTTGTCATTTAAATTGACCAGAATACGCCTTCAGATACAACACTGGAACCATATGATTACTTTGAAATACTCCTCACATTGAGGTAGACACAAAAGTCAGATTTAACAGCTACTGCAGCAACAACATTTTGTTATACAAAATACGAGGTGAATACGGTTAGCTAATCCTCGGAAATTTAGGCCATAAAATTTCATTTGATATCTCATCCGTTCTGTGACCATGAAAATTCCGTAGAAGTTTAAGACATAAAAGAAATAATCAAAGGTGTCCAGTCAACTTATCATGTCGATGCTTGTCGCAATGCTGACATCACAACCGGTTCCAATGCAAGTAACCTAGAAGGTGTGAAAACACACACAAACAACCAATCACGTCCAAGGTCACCAGGAGAGATGATTAATAAACTCGTGGAGAAATCTAAAAGCTCACTTCAAATTGAAGTATGCGCTGAAGATGTCACCCAGTAAGGTGATGAAAGCTTCGAAAACTAACCATCCAGCTCAGAGAACAAAACCACATCAAAATCACAGCTAATAGCAATAGATTGTTCGTCCTAATACAAACGTTACTGTTTTGTGCATTTGTTGTACATTCGCTCTTTTCTTCTTTTTAATAATAATAATGATTCACTTTATTCCCAAAACAGTACTTGTGATACAGAATGATATTCTCAGCATTAATCACAATTTTGCATCTAATTTCTCTAAATTATAAATAAAAAATCATCACACAGAAAATTTTCCACATTTACATTTACAAACATACAGCATTAATGTATATTCTTTAGGATGATTCATGATTATTTACGCCTATACTTGGTTTAGGTTAGATAACTTGTATGCACTGCAGAAGCTGTGGCTATCGAAATGGAAACTTCGATCCTGTGTATTCAGAAATTGTTTATTCAACCAATTACTTTTTCATGAACCTAATCTGTTCGTTTAATTTGTTCAATTTATTAATCTTTACCGTATTATTTTGACTGCCATAATTGCTTAGACTTTGCAACAATTTCTGATATTATCTCACTTGTCAACTTTATTCATTTCATTCAATAAAATATTTTTGAAGATTTGTCATATCAGACTTCTCATCTTGTTGCCCTGTGATTTATGTGGCCACATAACCTCGTGAATCCTATACTCTCCCATAGGATTCACAGACTCCATGACTCGTTTGACAAGGGAATAACCGAATTTATGTCATAATAATTCGTTTTTGTGTGAGTGTGTATTTGTTTTGACGTTTGACAGTGAGTGAAATTTCTTAACTGATATAATATTGGTGTGATGAATTATGATTCACAGTTGATTAGATGTATGAACGAATAACTAAATAAGTAAACAGAGGTCAGTCAATCTAAAGTTCATCAGTCGACATGTGTGAAAGAGATGATTGGAAAATATTTGGGAATTTGAATGTGCTAATATAATGTGATGGAAATATAAGAAGAGTGAAATTTCGTAAATGTAGTCGACTAGATAATATGTTAGAATATGATAACATAGTGTGATATAAAGTCATAAAAATTAGGACACGGAATAAAGAAGGATAACAGAGCTTTTATGCGAATTACATAGTAATGATTGAGATCGCACAAGTTGTTGTGTATTGCCAAAACCTCTGTTATACAAATCGGATGCACTTATGTCATTTTCGATGCACTTTGTCTAACTTATTGCACTAAATTAAACGATCAACCAGATGATGTGTGGTCAGCGTCTACAACATATAAATGCCTCTCCTTTGCTTAGCCAAACTCAAAGGTGCTTTCAAACGCAGCAGGATATGTGTCTCGACGAACATCCTACGTTAGCAGCCCCAAAAGAGCAGGTGAACGTATAAATACACATGGAATTAGACAGTCGACGTGACATTTCCTTGACTTTAAGATGCAGCAGTGTAGGGCTCAGAGAATTAACTATCAGCTGCAACTCCCTCAGAAATACCACCAACAGCACGCACAGAACTGCCTGCCAGTGAGCGGCTAGATTAGGCGATTCGCTATTGATGTCGCCAGACGTTTTTAAGTACCTTAGTTGCTGTTCTACCCCTTAAATTCAGTGCAACATATTTTGAACTACCTTCTCTGTCTGTGTATTTGTTCCATATAGTTTGATAATGCCCCATACATAGCGTAGCGAATGCTCATCCTTTCTGTAGGTTTCTTTTAATTGTGTGAGTTTATCATCCACACTTTCCTCATTACCAATTCTCCCGAATAGTGTTGACAGCAAATAAATAAGACTCCATTACCTGTTTTTGAGGTATTGTTGAAGTCGATTTTTTTTAAAAGCATCCATCATCTCTTCTTGTAAGTTCCGCATCAAGGAAAAATATTTCCCCGAGAAT